TTTAGCTATTAAACCAAATCAAGGTACTTTCTAAATTGAGTGAAAGGAAACAATCCCATACTCAACTTCAAGTACCAAGAGACAAAACTGATGGTTTCTCTATATTCACTTTCACATAGGCAAAAAGCAAAACAAAACAAAAGAAACTTTCTAAGTAGAGTTCAGAGGGTCACTTGAAGTTTCAGGTTAAACATGACCTGTACAATGAGGCAGGAGAAAGCTAAGTCTCCACTGTGGATTCTCTATTCTATGACAGCAAAATTCAGCAAATCTTGGCTTCATTTCTGTCTTTAGAAAAAAGTAACCTGTTGTGATTTTTTCCTATTTTCATTTTTTTTCTTTTACTGTAACAGAGGGTAAGCCTTTTATAACACTGCAGATAGCTCAAATGAAGAACTTATTGTAAAAAGTAGCCTAATATATAAGCCACTAATTATCTAGACATAAATTCTGAGATCAATAAAGTATATCACTAAACTTAGAACATATGTAGGTAAATTCTGCTTCACACTCTGAATTATACCTGCCTTTTGAGAATAAAAATATATTTTACTATTTTGCTCCAGAAACAAAATATCAGTTTTTGTTGTGGATCTGCTCTCACTTATGGAAGAATAGACGAGGAGACATGTGCAGTGGCAGATATCCTCTTAGAGGTAGCAGGAAACTTGTCAGGAATACGGTTAAGACTTCTCCACCATTAGTGGTGATGGAGATTTCATGTCCAAAATTAATCCCACAGTGAATCTCATATTCTGTAAACTGTCTCCATTACCTCCTTGAGGCCAAGTACCCACAGATATTTACTTTTAAGTTGGTTTCTATTATTTCCAATTCTTATTGAAGAACGGCATTTTCTAATTTTTAAGATGATCCAGTTCAGTTCACATCATATCACGTTGCACTGTAACAGTTGGTAAATTTACCTCCCCTTTTTCCACATTACCTTCCAATTTTACACCCCTCAGGCAAATGCTTCAAGTTTACCTTAATCTTTGCTTTACTGACTTTAATAAGCTATAAAATAGTTTAAGAGGAACCTCAAAAGGCTTGTCAGGGTTCATCTGGTCCTTGAGCTCCAGATTTTTTGTATTCACTATGATAAATAACTAGCTGTCACTCTTTCCTTCACTCTAAACTAGGAATGATACCATCTCCATCTGATACTTAAACCTAGGAGCAGTAAGAAATTCTGGGCAAAGACAATCATAAGACCCCTCTGTATTGAGCTTCACTGAGAAACCTTCACAGGGAAGCAGGCTGCCATGAGATCTGTATTCAGATTTGGCCATCATCACCAGCTAGCTGTAGGGAAAAACTTAATCCAAGTCTTGGTTTCCTCATTTTTAATACGAGGAAAAGAACAGCATCCACCTAGAGGGTGGTGGGGAAGATTAAATGAGATCATGCCTAGCACATGACAGCTCATATTTACCTCTGACAGGCCAAAGAACTTTGGGCTGGGTGCAGGATTACCTGTTCTGCTCTCCTTTGGAAGCAGCCCAGTAAGAGAGACCACAGCAAAATCTGGGATAAGCAGCTAAAGATGGCAGAGGGGAGGGATGATGGGAGGGTAGGAAGAATGTTTCAATTAGTTATCTTTCATTAAGCTGCATTTTCTACAGGACAGACTATTGTACAAGTCCATTCTGAGAACTCAACACCATTTTAAAAAATCACCTTAGAAACCATTTCACTGCAAAATGAAACATCTTCCCAGGGCCAGAGCCCTCTCCAAAGCAAAGGAGTGGTTAGGGTCTGGAGCCTGACCTACAAGTGAGCCTCACACAAGCACAATTACTGTGCCTTCTTAATTTTCCTTCTAAAGTTATTTGAAGGGACTGTGGTTTTGCCTTGAGCAAAACCTCCTTAACAGCTGGGAATCTCAAAGCAAACAACATTATTTTATTAGGTTATGACAGCAGATAAAAGCAAAACATTCCATTTGGACTCTTTTTGGAGTCAATAAATGCATTAGCTTAAAACAAACCCTCTGAGAGTTCCCGTTTTTCTCAGCAGCTTCTAAGAGAAAGCCTGAGGAACAGAGAATGAACTATGAGCATATATTAGTATATAGTCACTGATAAGAAAAAGTATTGTCATGGTACATCTCAATCCCAATTTAACACTCACCTCAAAGGATGTGTTTTTTTTGTTTGTTTTATTTTTAAAGGATGTGTTTCTTTAAAATAAAGTTTTATTTTTCACAATGACCAGGGAATTTAAACTTAGAATTTATGTGACCGTTCCTGACTCAACGTAACCAACTAATTAAAACCAATTTTAGATAGCTACAGTTGCTCTCATAAAATATTTACTTATGATTTTAAAAGTATGTGACAAATACATGAGACTGATGATTGTCAGTTATGGTTTTACCTCCAACAACAAAAAGACTTATAAAGGGCACAGTGGGGGGAAAAAGCATTTCTCAAAAATTCATCCATCCATCTACTCACCCATCTTTCAAAATAATAACTAAGAGTGTACTAAGAGAATCAAAGACAGTCCGTACACTTAGGGAGCTCAATCCAGACTTTCAAATTAAAGACCACCACTGTGTGGAAAATAGAGGCAGCAATGCTGGGAGATGCCTCAGATATTAAAATAGGCAGTGAATTTCCTAACACCTGTGGTCTTCCTAACACCAAAAGCAGAATTCTTTGATGAGGACTGTTCCCCAAAGATAAAACAAAAGGCACTTACCCCTTTGTGGCAAGAACTATTATGGAAAGAACATTTCACTGCCCTGACCAGGGAACATGTCTTTTAAAAAATCTTTGGAAAAATTCACATCCTGAAAGCATTTGATTATCCTGATTTTAAAATGGGATTTTGCTCAGTGGCAAGGATACAAATTCATCCCCACAAGTATGGCTTCTGTGGTGAAAGGCACATGATGGCTCTGAGGGAGGGTTTATCTAGAAGGTTGATAAATGGGGCCCTAGGACAGGATTCATCAAATTCCATCCCTGGAAATCTCCCTGCCTTGACCTGAAGAATTCCAACAAGACTGGCTTTTTGAATACCTAGTTGGAGGGGGTTACGAACAGTTTCAAGCACAATTTGTTCCCGTTTTTATTCCCCGCTCACTGAGTTATGTGCTGTTAAACATTTCCAGAAGACTGTCAAAATGTAAGCATCCTGAGGTTTACGTAGGCCACACCATTAAATAACATATAAGCACAAAATTTTAAACACTGTTTTCCAGCAATGGTAAATATTTTAGCTAAGTAAAAACTGAAGCTTGAAATGCAATAAGCATTTAAATGAGTCTTTTCTGTGCCAGAATTCTTATTTTCCCCTGTGCGACCCTGGCTGCTGGGATTAAGGCGACCCCAGGGAGCTCAGCAAATGGTTGTGGGTTATGAGGTGCAGCAAGGGCTTGGCGACAGTGTGCCACCCAGCCTCAAGAAACCCAGCCATGACTGGAACCCAAGAATCAGTGTGTTCACTTTGTGGTCAGCTTCACATTTTTCCCCTCCTTGAAAAAGGGAACCGCTGCGAAAGTCAGGCTTGTCTCCCACCCCTCAAGCAATCATGAGGCGGACCAAGAGTAGAGCTGAAAGACTCAGAGCTGGAGCGGAGGGGGAGGCTGGTCCCTTTGGGTGGCATGAAGCAAGTGGGAGCGACATGCCTTCCGCCCCTCAGCCTTAGGGAGGGAATGACCCAGGCACTGACAGCAGCCGTTCCACTGCCGACATGTGTGCTGTCACTTTGTGAAGAAGGAAACCCAGAACAAAATTCACACGGCTTTCGCCACACGGTGATTGCAGTCCTATTCAAGGCCTGTCACAGTCACGCCACCCACTGAGCAGAAATCCATGGAAATCAGGCCTCCTTCAAAATCTCTCAAGCCACTGCCTCTCCCCCAGCAGAACAAGGCAAGAATTTTAAAGTAACAGACAATATGGTCCTATCTCCACTGGCTTCCCAGTGCCTCTGGTTTCTTATTTACTGAAGAGACTCACTCTCGGCCCAGAAGAGTCTACGGGAAGCCAGATGCTCTCCAATCAAACTCAACAACTCATAAAGAAGCAGGTAGGGCAGTGTATCATTTATGAGACTGGGCTACTGTTTTTGCCATGAAAATCTGACCTATAAAATTTCAAGTAAGTGAGGAAAAGGAATGCAGATTCTTAGGGAATTTATTCCATACTCGAAAAAACAAAGCCAAAGTGCTTTGCTATTATACCATCCACATTTCTGAGACATACGTGGAGTTCTGTGACTAGCCCTGGAGATTAAAATACAGACAAATTTACCACTTACCGCCTTGGGCCAAGGAAGGATTATGTCACACAGACGAAGGGGCATGTAGGTATCTATCTGTCCGATTTCTGGTGAAGGTAACACATCTCTTCACCTACACACAGACACACACACACACAGAGAAACTTATGGAGGACACATATTCTTTCTAGTTTTGAAATCTGAGCATCAACCTGTAGGTCTACATAGACAGAAATGGCTATCTTCTATGGAGAAAAGATTTGGAGACAGGATGTTCATATAAACTGCCAACAGATTATTCTGTAGATTTTTTGAAAGGATGATTGTAGTTGAAAGGCCAGACCTGCTCAAGATGAACTTCTTTTTCCAAATTGTACAGTGCTAGCCAAAGATTAGCAGATGTTAGATATAATGATTAGGTTTTGGTATGATCCAGAGTCAGACTGAAAATGTGAATGGCCTTCATACCAGTTTTAACGCCCAACTCCACTGAAACTTTGCATTACTGTTAAGTGTCACATTAAGAAATTGCTGAAAGTGCTAGGAATGACTAGAACAAAAGCATCAGTTTGTTAGTTCTGTACTTATCTAGGGTCAATGTAAGTTTCTTTTACTCACTCTAAGCAGTGAAAATGAGGTGCATATTGCCTTGGAAGATCAGGCCAATATGAATACAATCTTCCCAAACACAGCATAAAGAACATTAATGACAATTAATGACAATCACTGCAGTTTATCATTACACAACACATTCAAGAGCAATTCAATAGCTTTAAAAATAGTTTATTTCCACCTTCACAAGCACACAAGCCTTTGACCATTATGCAAGGCACCACAAATTACATAAAACTTACATTAGAATATATGTGTCTTATATGGCTCAAGATAAAGTGGATTTTAAAAGCAAGTGGACACCAGTTATGGGGGAGAGGAGGGGCTAGGGCCAGTACCAGCAATACACCACGTGCATTTTTCTACAATGTCTCCTGAAACAGGCAGTAATTTGCATGTGTAGCATCATAGGAACAGTTTTCCAAAATTAGCACATCCAGCAGAGGGGCTGTATCTCAGTTTCTGTCTATATAATAAAATGTCAAAAGCACTTCCTTAAAGTGCTAAAACTTTTCCTTAGTAGTCTCAGTATCAGTAACAGCATATGATTACTAAACATCTCCAATGTGGTTTTCATTACAAGAAAACATGTTTCACATAAAACCTTCATAATATAATCCAGAGACAAAATTTGTGCATGTTTAAAATTTGAATCCAACTGGCTATTTCTGATTTTTTTCCATTTCTTCCAATTTTTTTTTCATTTTTATAAATATGTACCAAGTTTTCTATCAGTTTAAACATACCCAGAACACTTTGCTCCAGGAACCATGCTTGTCTTTCAGTAGCCTCTTTGAGATCATCATCCCTACCCAAGAAGGGGAGCCCAAATTTCTGTTCAGACTTTCTCCCAAATCATGATAGTATCAACCCAATTCCAGCAAATGTCAGATACAAACACAGGTTTGTGGGCAGAGGTCCAGAGAATAATCAGAAATAACTGCACAATGATCTGGTTAAGAAAACATATAGATAATGAGTGATTTCACTTAATAAAAAGCCTGGATGTGAATTTAAATGAGATGGATAGGAAAGAAATGAAGCCTTGCTTCAATCCAGGACGAGGTATTCTTACTGCAGTATGGACCACTCAGCTCAGTGTCCTGGGCTCAGCCCTCCTTTAATTCCCTGCTTTTGAGGTGGATACTGAGGTAGATACTGATGGCTTGAAGAGAGGTAGGTAAAGTCCAAATTTGTTTTCAATCCCTGCAAATGTTGCAACTGCCAGTTTGTAGCCTCCAACATGATCAGGTTTAGGAGCAGGCAGTATGATCCTGGATTTAGGAACTGGCTCAGATCCCACAGGTTTTCTAGAAGAAGAGTAAACCAGTAAGAATCTGCATTTAAAAAAATTTTTTTAAATGGTAAAAATATCACTCAAAAACCTAAAACTATGCATCATAAAGGAGTTGTTGAGCTCAGTCAGCTATACATTCTCCTCTGAAATGACCTTGTAAATTTTTCTAAATCTTTTCTATTGATAGGATCTAGTTGGTTGTACTTTTCTCAATGGTAACTGAGGATGAAAAACAGCCGAAATTTAGCAGCAGATTCAGCATGATACTTACACTCCTCCAAAATCAATGTAGAACCATCTCTGTAGCAATTCATAAGTCAGCAAAGTGACACCAAACTGGGGTGAGGATCGAAATACACGAGCTTGAAAAAATAAAAATTATAGATATCATTACTTTTTTTCCCAGAAACTTACCTGATACTGAAGGGTTAGTTAAGAATCAATTATTTTCATACCACCAGCTCCTTTCCACAAAGCTTTTGGGCCTTCTTCCCGCAGTATCTTTCTGAAGCAGTCTATCACTCCGCTGTAAGTGGTTTGGCCAGCACGGGCGGCCACCTGTAATCTAGTCTTGATAACATCAGCAGGGGTCACTAAAGATGCTGCAGGCATACCTGTAGGAGACACATAACACCATCTCAGTCTGCTCACATTCGCACTATATAAAAATAACTGTGCTTTCAACTGCAGGCCTTGGAAAGAAAAGAGAAGCAGCCAATGCAATAAAATGCCCACTTCATTGTCTTCCTGGGAAGGCCAGCCAAAGTGGTGCTCTGCACACCTGCTTTCCTCTGCTCCCCCAGCACCCCACTTCCACGTTATGTTTCTATTCTTAAATACTTAAATAATGTTAAGGAATTATTTATGAATAACACTACTTCAAGTGGTTGAGCATAAATAGAGGAAGTGGTTTTTAAAAATATTTTTTTGCTTCACTGTTGAAATCAGAACCTTGGAAAGTTTATTAGGTCTGAGTTTTTAGAGGTGATGCTTGTTACTCGCTTCCTCCTCATGGCTTGCTGGCTGCTGGCAATCACAGGAGGCACCTTCTCACATACTCCACCACTCTCACCTCCAAACCCCAACTTCTGCCTTATACAAGAAAGAATTTACTGATAACTAAAAAACCACTGTGTGTGTGTGTGTGTGTGTGTGTGTGTGTGTGTGTATTGGGTACAGATAACACTTCAGGATTCGTTTTTCCAAAGACTGATATCCTCAGAAAAATATTTGAAAGAAGCTTTAAAATTTATACTGGCTGACAATCAATGAAACAGGAACAACAACAAAATCTCTCCCAAAATTACCAATGGGAAATTTTTCTACAGTCATTCTATCCAAAATGGGGCAGCCCCATGTTTAGATTTTTTAAAAGCGAGACTGTACTCAGAAGACACTGTCTCTTATGGTTTTATTACTTTTCCATTATGAACCTATTCCAAACCAAATTGGTCAAATGCAGATGCATAAATCTCCTTTGCTTTTTTTAAGGCTTAATAATTCTGTAAGAATTTCTGTCCAAACCAACATGGTCTGGCTCATAACTACATCCCATCCTTCTAACAGACAGTTTTAAAGTCACAGTGTGAGTGGAGTGCATGTGTGTGTGTTTGGGTTAATCTATATACTACACACTTGCATCTATATTATTAAAGCAGTCTTTTCCTCTTCTATCTTTACTCAGTCCCTCAAAACATTAACCTTAAGTAACAGCTGTTATAAAATGCACCACAATTTTGCATGTAAAAAGCACTTTATGTCTAATGCTTTACTTGGTAAGTCACACAGTTTTCTACTGGCTTGCAGGAATTATTTTAACTTTAAGCCAGGAATTTATCCTCCAACATAATGGAAGGAAACATGAAAAATGCTTAGAAACCTACTGTGTTCACACCACTGATTTTGTTTTACTTCCTGGTTTAGAAAGAGATTAGCAGACAGTCTGCTCTAGATATGCAATAAAAATCCTTAGTTATAGGGGCCGGGGATTTAGCTCAGTGGTTTTGCCGTCTGCTACGTAAGTGCAAGGACCCAAGCTCGATCCCCGGTACCAAAAAAAAAAAAAAATCCTTACAGTTATGGGCAGGCAAGCTCAAGTATGAATGAAAGACATGAGAACAATAAAATGGGTAAAAAGTTCCCCTTCTGTTGGAATAGTTTTCATAAATAGTTACCTATCATAAAAAGAGAGAGATATTGGGAGATGAGGCGCTGGAATAAAAATGACAAAAGAAATGTCTCAGTTACTTAGTGAGTTGTCTGACAAGGGTTAGTGTTGCGGGGGATACTGGAAACGTGGCCGCCTGGACACAGCTCTCATCCTTCTCAGCTCCTATCTATCCTCCATGGGTGGATGCCTCTCTAGAGGCATTTCTGGTGAGGGGATTTGTTAAATTAACCTGGACAACTATATCAGGCGGTGCCAGAGCATGGCTGGGAGCAGCAGGAACTGGAAGGAGGCTGGCCACCCAAGAGCTGTTGATTTTCAGGGTCAAGAATGGCAACATCTGATTGAATTTTTCCTAGTTCCTCGTGGCTTGCACAAGCATAAGACCATGCTGATGATGTGGTTTGAGCCTTCTCCATTCCTGAAGACAGGGAGCAAGAGGATGCTGGGAGATGGGGAGGAGTCTCTGGGTCCTGCAGCAGGAAGGGCACTGCAGCTGACTCTTGAATGCAGACAAATGTGCTGCCCTGACAGTTCCCACCACCTCTGCAATAGCAGCGATGAGATGCATACGCTGCTCTGCCAATCAAAACAACAAGTCTTCAGGGGGGCCAGCAATGGGAGAGCAGAAGATCATACACAACAGAGAGGAAATGTGACTGGCAAATACAACTCTGAGGCCTGAGTCATTCTTAATTTTCATGAATATTTCAGTTGTATTTACAAATAATGGGTTTTTCTGTTTAAGGTTTAAAGGTTAACATACACTTATTTTAGGTCAACACTAAGTTTTCCGAATCTCCTTCATATCCTTGTCTATACATCTACCAGACACATCGTATTTTATGAGACGCACGATAAAGTCCCTCATTAGGAATGTGCAGATATCACAGTCTCGTCAGACTCCAAGCTGAAATCTTTACCACAGTATTATACATAGAGATTGATGATCTGTGTATTATTATATACAGAGATTGAGGATCTTTATAGTATTTCACTAAGCACAAAATGTGCCTCTGAATACTATTTTTAACTCCCACATTTCATTTAGTCTGAAATTAACATTCCTATGCTTGCTTACTGTTGCTATTTGCCTTATACATACTTTTCAACCTGTTCTCTTTCAAACTTTCTATGTCCCTTTTTAAAAAGATTTCAGATGACTAGATTTTCTTTCAAAATACTGGAAATTGTTTTATGAGGGGCATTAAATCTACCACCATTTATTGAGGTCATTGGACTCATTTCTGATGTCATGTATTATGTTATTTTCTTTCTAGTTACTTCCCTTTTGATTGTCTCCCTTTCCTATTACTTAAATAATGCACATATGACGTAAGAGTACATACATGACAAGGTGTTCAATTCATCAGCAGCTGCTTCCTCTTTCAGAAAGGAGAGGATTTCAGTGACCTTCACTCCTGTCTTTTCTCTTTATCTCCCCAAACCTTCTTGGACAATAAATGCACATACCAAGTCAGTAATAATTAAGGCCTGCTCCCAAGTTTTACTTCTATTTGATCTGTTTCACATGTCCCACATTGTGCTCCTTCTTACATACTCTTCCTTTTACTGCAGAGAAGGTCTGTGAGGGGTAACCCTGGAGTCCCTGCATATGAGAAACAAGTTTTGTCTTCCTGAATGCTAATGCGCCTGGGAACACAATCATGGTCTTTTCCTTGGCAAGTATCCAGGCAACTCTTATTAAGTAGATGTCAGACCTCCTATATTAATCCTACAGATCTCTTAAATTCTCTCTTATTTTTCTGCTCCGTAATTTTTTTGTTCCACATTCTAGAATTTTTTCCACGTCCTTATTTTCCAGATGTCTAGCTTGGTCTTTGATCACAAAAACCCTATCATTCAGAACTATCTCTGGATTTGAAATTTCGGCAATCCTTTCATTAATTTTCAAGAAAGCTTCCTTACTGATTATTCCTTTCAAATCTCTCTGAGGACCCTAATTATAGTTCTTAAAAGTTCCCTTCTGTTCCCTGAATTGCCTGTTTGCTCTGTAATTCTTCATTTCACTTACCTTGTTGTTCCTTCCTGAGGACCTCTGGCTGTCTAGTGATACTCAAGTTCAAAGGATAGGCTGATTAGGGTTTTATATGCAGTCGTGGGTGGCATCTACCATACTTTAGGTCAGCTACACTCATAGGCCTCTCTCCTGAATAAGAGGGTCTTCTGTGTGCAAGGGCCTAAGGAGGCTGGCAGGGTGGAAGCTTTCTGAGCTGCTGAAATGTCGAGACCTTCACACTGCAGGTAGAATTTATTTTCTCCTCCTCTGGGGAAGAACGACTATCGGTATATGCTTTTCCGCATCTGTGGTAAAGGTCTGGAATTACTGTAACCCTTGCCCTGCTTTCTTTTAGTTCCCACACCTGCCCTTTCCACTCCCCCTCCCTGCCCTTTTTTTTTTTTTTTTTTTACCAGCACAGAACTGAGCTTTTAACCTGCAGCAAGTGTTGCCTGAAGTAAAAGCCTCAAGGTTGGCTATCCTGTCACAAATGAGCTAACTCATGATTCACCTAATATCTCCACCTCCACCCAGGAATCCTATTGTTTACTCAGAGCTCACAATGCTCTGGTTCAGTTCTTACATTAGTAGTTTTCCCTACCAGTGTTTTGAGCTGTGGCATCATTCAGTCAGTCTGAGTCAATATTGTGCTGTTTCCTGTGTGCTGAGGGCTGGTGCTACCATTTTCTAGGGCCAATAAAGAATATAAAAAAGTGTATTTTCTGACATTTTTAAGGTACTCTGAGAGATAGATGAGCATGCTTAGTTCATTATCTTGATATAATAGCTCTATTACTTTTTATTCTTAAGGATCTAAGAATTGCACTTAAATGATCTGAAACTTTGTGGTCACATAATTAACACATATGTGCCAGTGGCACTTCTCTCCTATGTAGTGTTTCCTTGTTCCCACCTTCAAAACCCACTGTTCTGCTATTGCACAGTGGAAGCTGAGACCAAATACAACTTGTGAATTCCATAGTGAGACTAAATCTATTTATGATGGTGATGGAGAGTAACATGAATGTCCAAAGATTTGGTCAATCTTTCACAATTGAGAGGCTGATCAAAAGGGGAAATTTGTTAAATCAAACTAAACTTGGGCCTCAGAAGGCTTCATGGAGTCCTTAGTAAAGAATGGCAATGTAACCCCGTATGTAAACAAACTGAAAATCTAACTTAGGAATTTTCTTTTATAATAAATAGCTGAGCCATCGCCAATCAAAGCAGCCAACCTGGCCACTAGCTGCCTTAGTACCACATTTCTGTTTTGTGTATGTCATTTCCCTTTTTCAGCCCGAGCCACATGGCAACCTTGAGTCACTCTAGCCCATTCTGGTTCTCAGGACTGCCCAATCTGCAAATTTTTCTTCTAAAATGTTTGTGAAAACAACACAATCATCACATACCTATGACCCTGCCATATCTATGAATATGCAATGAATAGCTTTTAAAGATAACCCTGAATTAGAATTCAGTTTAAGCTAACTAAAAGGCAAGACCCTCACCAGTTTGACTTATTCTTATATCTTATCACCCTGACAAGAGAAATCATCTGGTAACAGATCACCCTATGAGACGTAAGAAACAGTTGGGATATTTTACTTGATATTATCACAAACCTTATTGAAATACTATTCATTAATTAAAAAGTACCATGCTAATGACACAGAATTAGAATTTGGCCTCTTAATTTTGGGCTCCCTGCTTCAGCCCTCTCCTTCAGAAATACTCTGGGCAATGAACACAAAGTCACATATCAGTTAACCTTGCTCTATCCATGAAATATAGAGTAGATGTTCCTAAATGACAATGCTAATTTGAAAAATTAAAAGAAATACTAGATACAAAAATCTTACAACAGATAATATTCTCTAGGTAGTGAGTTACCCACAACCACCTCTGTTAAAAAGCTGCATATTACCAAAGAAATTAATCTCAAGACTAAACAAATTTTCATTAGTGACAGTACTTATCAGATAAGTGGAATTATTATCAAAACAGCACAATCACATTCATTTAATCACAGGTCTACCTTATTTATAATAGGGCTGTTCAACAATAACAACAAAATATGCATATATTCTGTATAAGGGACCAATTTGAATATGGTATATATCTAAAAATAGTTAAAAAGGCTCACTTGTGCTTCATGATAAATAAGTTAGGGGTTACCATTATTCACTGGAGTTGTCTGAAGTTCCATTGCAGAGGAGGACTTCTATGCTTTGAGACACGTTTTTTTCCCTTGAAGATAACAGAGCCCTGAGATGTGCTTCCTTAGGCTCCTGCATACTTGCCATGCCCTCTCCCAGGGAACGCTTTTGTTCTCCCTAGGCCACCGTGGGCATGGTGCACCTCTGTGTACCTGTCTGCTCAGCTTCCACCAGGCTGGACTCTCAGCAGCCAACTCTCCGGCTTCCTCTGTGGCATCAGCTAACTGCTTATCTCCGCATATAACATTTTAAAAGTTTATCTCATAACAAAATAATTACTAATTAAGAAATATGAATTCAAATAATTTTTGGCAGTTTAATTTGAATTTTCAGGTAAATGATCATTTGTAAATAATGGCAGCATCATTTCTACTTTTCTAATATTTATTCCCATTACTTGTTTTCATATTTTACCACATGGCCTAGAAACTTTTAAACAAAGCTGAAAAAGAAGGATGAGAGAGAAAGGAGACATCCTGTCTTTCTTATCCCTGGCTTTCTTGATAATGGTAGTTATGATGTTTGTCTTTAGATTCTGCTAAGAATGCTGCTTATTACCTGTTATATAATTTTAATAATATATAGAATACACAAGGCCTTCAAATTTGTAGCTAATCCATTCTTTGAAGAAAAAAAAGAAATACAACAAATTATGTCTTATATTTCCCCATTATACAGGGAAGAGGAGATCTGGGGGAGATGGATAATAACATGAAAGAAAGGCTCAGTATTAAGTATGGTGCTGGTGTGCCCCTCTCTTTCTCCCCCCGCTCTCCTCTTCCCTCCCCTCCCTCCCTGCTCATCCTCATTTCTTTCTGCCTTTCTTTCTTCTTTCCTCTCTCCCTCTCATCCTGCTCTGCTCTGGGGAAGCCTGCTGCCATGTCGTGAAGATATCTAAGCTGACAAACCCATATGCAGTATTTTATTTAGACATTTTTAAAGCACAAATATTCCCATTTTTAAAAACTTCTGGTTGCATTATCATTCTTATGCTATGAGGTAAAATTATTAAATATAATGAAACATGAATTAGGATTCACAGACCACAAAAGTGAACCAGTAATTAATGAGCTCTTTTTATGAGTTAATTAAATTTGTCTAAAATCTAATGTGCCGGAATAAAGGCTAATGTAATACCTTTTCTTTTCATTAGCTAGTTGAAGCAATCTATAACCAATTCATATGTACCCTGTCAAAAGACATTAGCAAAAACTTCCAGTGTTGTAGCATGTTTTATCTACAGGCTGGGGACAGTGGAGTTTGGGGATGGTTGGTGGGGAAGTAACAGTTCCATGCAGGACACTCACCAGCTATGGCCCCAGCTAACAGCAGGCTCCCAGGGCTAATCTGCCCATCTTCATTTGCAAAGGAAGCCTTCACATGGGCATAACATGGGAAGTAGATGGCAGAGAAAGGAATGTCCCGCAGGAAGCAGGCTTTGGCACCCTGTGCATTTGCAAAGGAAGAAAAACCACATGAAACACATAACCCATTGAGAAGATCAAGCTTCTTTGGAACTCACCTCAGAATAAAATATTCCTGGAGAAGACCAAATTTGTACTCACAAACTGAACAGGGAACAGTAAAAAATAATCCAAATTCTGTAAGTAACAAGTTTGTGTCTTCTTTTTAAAAATAAAGTTAATTTTGTTGTATGTTGTATGTACGGTATTTATTCTAACGCTAAGATATGGATTACACCATTTTTGGCACTCTGCCTTGACATCCTTTCAGGTCCCTACTGCTGGCAAGTCACTGGCATTTCAAGGAAGATCTGTTTGCTGGTCTCAAAGATGACAGAAGGCAAAAATCAAGAAGTTTCTTTGCTGACACACTAGAAAGTAAACAAATTAAGATAGGCAGAGGGGAAAGAGGCCCAATTTTTGTATTATTTGAGAATCTTATGAAAGTTGGAATCTTTCCCAGAAAATATTACACATACACAAAAAATTATTTATTTTTTCAGGGAGTTCATGGAACTGCCTCAATTTATTCACATAATTACTCACCATCCAGGGTACATGAAGCATTGATAAATGCATGCTCTAAAGCTTTAAGATATTTACAATAATTCTGACATATTTAAGAACTGTGTGCAGAACAATTAGCTCCTAGAGCAAAGTCTTCATCAAATAATTTCTGGTGCCAAAATAATGCCACATGGAGGCCCTGAGAATTGATGAGTACACAGAAATACGATATAATATTATAATGAAAGCCACAACAAATATATTGGGTTTTGGGTAGGCTGAGCAGGAAGGAAATCACCACTTTTCAACACTTAATGATTTAATACCATTTCTTTCACAGATTTCTAATACCTAAAATTTCCACCGAATATAGAAATTCCCCAAAGAAAATAAAGAATCCATGCAGATTCAACAGATCTAGCCACGTAAAAGTGACTTTTACTGAGGTCTAGTAGGCTGGACCTTGGGAATTTCCGCCCAACGGATGGCTTTAGTCTGTCAAAGCGCCTGAACACCACACATCTGTACTATAGCTTTGGTTTTTTTCTGACATTCACATTTCCCTCCTGACTCAATCAGATTTCAGGTTAGAAAACCTTTAGTCTTTTTCATATAAACTGCTATTAACCCAGGTCTACTGCAACTTAATTGTATTACACAAGTAACATAAGTAAGACTTTTTATTTAAGCCTATTAAATTTAATTCTAGTGTGGCTCATCCTTCAAACAGAACAAATGCTTGCAATTCAGATTCTGTCATGCTGGGTACTCATATATAATTCTTTGCAAAGTTGTGCTTCTTCTTCTTCTTTTTTTTTGGTTGTTTTGAGACAGGGTCTATGTAAGTCAGGAAATCCTTGAACTCACTATGTAGCCCAGGCTGGCCTCAAACTTGTGATGATCCTCCTGCCTCAGCCTCCCAAGTGCTGGTATTACAGGCGTGTGCTACCATGCTCGGCCAAACTGTGCTTATTATATTCATTAGCTTTTAACAATGTTTGCATTTAGAGCAAGATGTCAATCTCTGCTTGCCTCATTTCTTTGCTGGTAATATTTTCCTTTTGAAGTTTTTGTCTCATTACAAAAATAGTAAGTGTTTATCTAGGCTCATCTTCTCCAGTCAAAAAGAATTACTTCGAGTATAAACATTCTGGAGCCTCCTGTAACAGAAATATTAGCAACCGTTCCAGAGCTGTGAGGCCATGCTGGAGAAGTTAGGGGTTAGGCCCTTTTCCTCCTTAAATTCACAGTCTATGGATTTTGTTTTGTTTTGGCTCGACATGATCAAATATCTGCATTATTTGTTAGTCATGTTGCCCATATTTCTTTTCTACTTGTTTCAAAAATTGTACCACCATCTTTGGCCTTGGAGTGTTCTGTGGATCATGCCCAGTACTCTCATCCTTGACAAAGATTTGTAATGACCTGACTTCCCCAGTTTCCTCTCCCTGGCAAACCTGAGGAGTCTCAAATAAAGCTATCAATGTCACCCTCATCTGATCAGTTAAGGCCCACCTATCACTCTGCATCCTCTTTGATGATTGCTAAGCTGGGGAAACTAACTTCTTAAGTACCACCTCTTCATTCATTTAAACCCCCAGTACTACCATTTCCAATGACATATTTTAAGTAAAAGAAAGAGAAGGGTGGATACCACATGGCTCTAGATTGTCTACACTTTTTTGATCTTGCTCTGTGATTTCTTCATGCTTTTATCTGCCCAGGTAAGTGTTGCCTGATTGAGATTATAAGTAGACAGGTACCTGGAACTATTGTCTCATTTAATTTATAAATCTTTTAGCAAAATTTCTAGCTGTCAGCTGGGTCCTAAGACATGTTGCTGATGACACTGAATTTTGCTTTGCCAATTCCCACAGGAAAAAACAACTAAAAAGTGACACAAGAGGCTTTGGAATATTGTATATTGTCAGTTTCTGCAACAACAATTGATCATTGCCTAGAAAAAAAATTAGGAAACAAAACAAAGCCTTCTTATTTGTTATTATTATACAATAAAGCCTGTGAGAAAATACCAGTTTTGTACTGGAATGTGAAATTTAAAAAAAAAAAGGTAAAGGAGAGATAGAGAGATAGAGATTCAACTGTCTTATGCTATGTGGCTTCAATATGATCAGAAGGCCTCATGCGGGAAGACTAGACCTGAAATTAAAAACACCTCTGAGACTCAAGAAGAGTAAGAGTGCGGGAGGAAGTTTCCCAGGAAGGAGCCCTCAGTGTCCCACCATGAGGCCTTTTCCTTCCTATCCTGAGATCACAACACTAAGTCCAGTATCCTAGTGAGGAGAGCCCAGTCAGAGGTATGATGAAATCCTAGAGATGTCTGGAAACAACTCTAGATGGCTGAGAAGAAATAGCTTAATCAAAAATCAAACATAAACACAAATGAGACAACACATACCTGAGGAAAAGGTGGACGGCCCTGTGAACACTGAAGGGAAAGAGGTAGGAATATGTTGTATTTTTCCTGTGAGGAATCAGGTAATGTGGTCACATAATTTATGCAAACCTAAGCAAATGTTATGATATATAAGAGGTCTTAGAAAAAAGAGGAATCAAAATATATCACGTACAGATACAAACTCCCTTTGATGAATGTGATCGTTATGTACATTTAAATTGTACCAATAAAATTAATTTTTTAAAAAAAGAGGTCTTAGGTTTCTGATTACCTGAGAAAAGGGAAGAAATGGAAAAGTCAGGAAGAAAGGCTATTTGTGACCTAGGTGCCACCCTTGCTCTGCAAAGGCAGGACAGGAAGTTAAAATTTTTAATCACACCAGTTTCCATCTTCCAACACATGAAAAGCAGCTGGCAGATATTTCCCTCTGTCATGGTGTACTCTTGTGATGAGCAGGAAATCTTCCTCCAGTCAAAGCCACCAAAGGCCCTTTTCTTCAGAGGAGTGGAGGGACTGACTGGAGCTTTCAGAATAAATAAGGCAGGAACTATGAAAGTTCTGCGTAAAGTACCCGCTGCAGTGTGAAGGCAAAGGGCAAATGAGATCAGGAAGGCTCTCCTGGTTGTCTGTTGTTTTGCAGTCCAGCACCTGCTCAGGTGCCTCAGTGCAGCAAATAACTCTCTAGCTCAATCTGGAGGCGGCCTCTACTTCTCCTGCACCCTAGGCATCAAAGCCCAATTCCTATGGAAAGCCAACTTTGAGAAAGGCTGGAGAAAAGGCACAGACTTATTAAATTTCCCTGGCCTCCTTTTCCCCATCACTTCCTTCAGGTCTTAGGCACAAAGGCAGGTGCCAATTTGCAAGGCTGCCTTAGGCAATCCCTGACCTGTTGCTCCCACACAATGAAAAGGAAGCAGGATGTTAAAAAGGCCTTTAAAGTTCTAAGAGTTTCTCTCCCAGATTCCTTGATAAATCTTTCACTTTTGTGTCGGAACACCTATTCTCCAGTCCTACATCAAAAACATAAACCTGTTTGACTTGAATTCTACTTGTCTGGGTATAATTTTTCCTAAGTAATCAGCCATTCTGAACAAGTAACTTTGTAAGGAAGGGAAACATTCTGGGCGGTCCTAGAGCCTATCTTGGCAACACAAATGATTACTTTGGTCATTAAAAAATTAATAAATTAAACTGTGTGCCATTTAACATACACCTTTTAAATCTTCCTGCTCTATATGAAAACTTCATATTTGCTGGCCTTAAGTCTTTTTATTTTACTGGTTCTCTGGGCAGCCCTTAGACATTCTCTGGTAGGCCCTTCATTTCCTTTGTACCCACAGTAAAATCACTTGGGGAAAATTAAAAAATGTAAAAGACAATCCTCTAATTCTTACTATTCATTAAAGTTCTCTTTCTCCAAAGAAGGAAATTATTATTTTCTTTTTAATAAAAGGCCTGTTAATATACCAATAGGAACAATAAAAAGCATCTGCAGCAGACCCTATGTGAGACTGGCTGCACTCCAGTACTGCAGCATTCTCCGCCCGGCCCTGCAGCATCATTCCGCATGAGGTCTAGGAAAGCCTCTTTCCTGGGGGGAGGCTTCACTGTACCTCCCAGATAACAGTCCAAAACTCACACAACCAATTAGGCCCAGAGACTCTGGCCAGTGTCACCATGGCAGGATAATCATTTACTTTGCTTCTCCAGCCTTTTTGATGTGGATCTGTGCTGAAAGCCCATGGGGGCTTTAATCAGTTCTTAGGTTACAAGAATTATCCACCTGAGTTTACTCTGGCAGCACTGCCTGACACAAGATTGTCAAAAGATACAACACAATAAGATCTCTCTTTCTCAGTCTCTCGTGCACATGTGTGCACTCGCACGCGCGCACGCACGCACACACACAGTTGTCTCCAATTCTCTAAAGCCTTGTTTTGTTTTTTTACCTTTAAGCTCTAAATTCTACGTCTTGGATGATATTCAGTAACACCTGCCCAATCAATCCTGTTGGGAAAAAAAGCAAAGAAAAGCTGGTCCTGAAGGATGGTGCTGAT